CCCCACCTCGCGCCGTGTTCTGTCCTCCCAGGACGTCACCTTTGACGAGTCGGTGCCTTACTACCGTTTCTTCCCCTACCGCGTCGCGCCCCTTCCCCCGCCGCCGCTCTTCCTTGCACCAGGTCCTCCCCCGGTAGACCCCCTCCCCCCCTCAACGTCCTGCCCCGTCCGGTGTGTCCCAGGTAGACGCAGTCGAGCCTGTCGAGGTAGCTGTTGTCTCTGCTGCTGTTTGAGGTGCTGAGCCTGCGGGTGCCAGGTCTGGGGGTGCCGAGCCAGGGGGTGCTGAGACTGGGGGTGCTGAGTCTAGGGGTGCTGAGTCTAGGGGTGCTGAGTCTGGAGGTGCTGAGCCTGGGGGTGCGGAGCTTGGGGGTGCGGAGCCTGGGGGCGCTGGATCTGCTTGTGTGGCCGCCGGCGGTGCTTCGTCGAGGCGGGAGCCACTCTCTCCGCAGGAGCTGTGCGAGTGGTTTGCTCGGTGCTGGAGCCGTGCTGCTGGAGCTGGAGGTACTACTGTTGCTGCTGGTCCCGAAGGTGCTCGTCCTGGCGGTGCTGGAGCTGCTGGGCCTGGGGGTGCTGCTGGGGCTGCTGGAGTTGGTCCTGCTGGAGCTGTTGGCGGTACTGGAGCTGCCGGTCCTGCTGGAGTTGATGCTGCTGGAGCTGCTGGAGCTGGTGCTGCTGGGGGTGTTGGCGCTGGTGGTTCTGCTGGCGCTGGTGTGTCTGAGGGTGCTGGAGTTGACACGGTTGGAGCTGGAGGTGCTGCTGGCGCTGGTGCTGCCGCTGGGGGTGCTGGTGCCGTCCCTGCTGGTTCTGGAGGCGTTGCGCGGCCGCGGCCGTACTTCGTTCCGCTCCTTGAGCAGGTTGTTGGTCTCCCGCCTTCTACTGGTCCTGCTCCTCTCTTAGAGTGTCCACAGCCTATCTAGTCGCAGTCACAGTTACAGCCCGCCGCCCCTCTACCTGCTCTTTCTCCGTACACTGGTCCTACTGGAGGTCTTGCTGAGCGTCGTTAGCCTGCGTCTCGTCATGCGTCGCTTGTTCGCACTGCTCGCACTAGTCGTCGTGTTCTGCGTCCGCGTCCTCCTGCGGCTCCGGGCACACATCAGATGGCACTGCGTCCTTCCACTGCTCCCCTTCGTGTCCCGTTGCCGTCTCCTCCAGAGTCCTCTCTTCCTGTCCTTCCTGACCCGGAGTCTGACTCTCTTCGTGCTGCCAGTCCTACTGTCACACGTCTCCTGGCCACTGTTGTTACCGACCCTTCGTTTGAGTCCACTGCTGCGTCTGCCTTAGTGGCTGAGCTTGTCGACTTCGCTGCTCGCTGTCGTCTAGACTATGCGACTAGTCTTGTTGCTGAGCCCGGGTCTGTCTGTCCTCCGTCCGTCGGGCGTGGGTGTGCTCTTAGCACGGACGTCCTTGAGGACAGGCAGGAGGAGTTCCAATATTTTGCTGCTGCTTTGCCTCATCTCGTGTCCACGCTGATTGCCCCTAAGGGAGACCCGGATGCACCAGACATCCCGACTCCTCGATCGTACGCTGAGGCGATCGAGGGTCCCTTCTCCTCACAGTGGCAGTCAGTCATGGACGCAGAGATGGCTTCTTGGAAATCCACATGCACCTACGTCGACGACGTTCCCCCACCTGGGGCGAACATCGTCAGTGGCATGTGGATTTTCAGGGTGAAGCGACCGCCGGGTACGACGCGCCGCCCACCTGACTTCACTGGGTCGTTTCCTCCTGGTACCCAGTGGAGCCTCCGGCGGCCAGTCTACAGTCTCCGACAGGCGCCCTGTGAGTGGCATGACACACTGAGGACTACACTTGCGACTCTTGGGTTTGCTCCTTCTACAGCCGACCCGTCGCTGTTTCTGCACACCGACACCTCTTTGCCGCCGTTCTACATCCTCGTGTACGTCGACGACTTGGTCTTTGCCAGAGCTGACACTGCTGGACTCGCCCACGTGAAGTCCGAGCTGAAGAAGAGACAGACGTGCAGAGACCTGGGTAAACTGCGCAGCTACCTTGGCTTGCAGATTACGCGGGACAGAGCACAGCGCACCATTACCCTGACTCAGTCACACATGGTGCAGCAGGTCCTTCAGCGCTTCGGCTTCACGTACACCTCGCCTCAGGCCACTCCTCTGTCTACTCGCCACTCGCTCTCAGCTCTACCTTCAGATGCGTCCGTAGAGTCGAGTGGCCCGTACCGAGAGCTTGTTGGCTGCCTCATGTACCTGATGACCTGCACATGACCTGACCTTGCATACCCTCTTGGCATCTTGGCACGCTATGTTGCTCCTGGGAGACACCGACCAGAGCACATGTCTGCAGCCAAGAGGGTGTTGCGGTACGTGTGCAGTACATCGGGCATGGGGCTAGTGCTTGGATGACGACGTCGAGTGGTCCTCACAGGTCACGCAGACGCTTATTGGGCTGACGACCAGTCGACACAGCGGTCGTCACAGGGTTACACCTTCAGCCTTGGTTCCGGCTCTGTTTCGTGGCGGTCTACCCGCTCGTCTTCTGTTCTCACCTCCAGCTGTGAGGCTGAGATCTACGCGGGGGCCACGGCTGCACAGGAGCTACGCTGGCTCACCTACCTGCTGACTGACCTAGGAGTGCCGCTTCGTTCTCCTCCAGTTCTGTACGTAGACAACAAGGCCATGCTGGCCTTGTGTCGGGAGCACAGACTGGAGCACAGAACGAAGCACATTGCTCTTCGTTACTTCCTTGCTCGTAAGCTGCAGCAGCGTGGTCAGCTCCGCCTCACCTACGTGGCCTCTGAGGCCAACACTGCTGATATCTTTACCAAGGCCCTTCCGCCTTGTGATCATCAGCGCTTCTGTGCTATGTTAGGTCTTGTGCCTACTTGGCCTCACTTGCTCACTTCTTGACCTTGTTTGTACTGTACTCTTTTTATACCTGCACTTGCTTGTTTACCTTTATATATATGATCTTGCATGTGAACTAGCCTTGTGGCCCTGCTCTTGTGCTCGGACTGTATAGTAGGTATGATCAAATGACCCGACCCGACCCGACCCGACTTTGGCGGGCCAGCCGGGTTCCGGGTCGGGTCGGGTCGGGTCGGAACTTTTGAGATCTCTGGCCCGACCCGGGTATCGGGTGCCGGGTCAGGCTTGACCCGCCCCCGGGTCGGGTCGGGTCGGGGCCGGGTCGGGTCGGGTCGGGCCGACTCCCATAGGCAGGGTTAGAGGTTCTCCTTAATAATGTGTAGGGGCGCGGGTCTAGCGACCTGCGCCTGCACGGCGCGCCGAGATGCCCTAAAACGCGGGCCTGCAATGCGCGCGCCTAGGGTGGGAGCGCGACCTGTAAATTTCGGATTTAAAAGAAATCCTAAGATGGATGGCGCGAAGTGCGATTGGCTGAGTACTAACTAAACATTATCGTGGGTTCTAGGGTAGATTAGTACGCCAATGTTGCTTGGTGGGTGGCTGCTGGCGTCACTAGCTAGTTAACCTAACTTAATCCAGATCGAAATGCTAGTTGCTGGGAAAACAAGCAAGCGCAATTGCGATCTGGATAACATTGTCGAGAGGAAACCCTCGGGTCGGGCCAGATACCCAACCCGAGATAGGGCGCGGTACCCGAAACCGGGTCGAGTCCATAATCGGGTCAAAACCCGACCCGACCCGACCCGACCCGGAATCGGGTCACGGGTCGACCCGACCCGGCCGGGTATACCCGACCCGACCCGGCCGGGTCAGTGGTTCAGAACTCCTGACCCGACCCGGGTCAAAACCCGGGTCGGGTCGGGTCGACCCGACCCGCCGGGTCCCTATGCACATCCCTACTGTATAGTGACATTGTGATCCACCCTGAGCTTGCCTTGCTTTGCTTGACTGGTCTTGTGACCTCTTGTTCTCCCCCACTTTGCCTATGGGGTTGTGTCAGGCATATATGCTATAGTCTGTGTAGGCTGTAGTGGGGCAGTTCATATGGGGAACAACACTTTAGGGCTTACTACTTGTACTCCTCATTCTGTTCAATGCATTCATTTTCCTCGTTTCTTATCAATGAAGTATAGTTAAACAATAGCTTTGTGCTTTCTTATGCTTGTGTGCTAGACGAAATATAAATGCGTGCTTGTGTTCAGTTGTAATCAATCCTTTTGAGTGAAGTTATTCTCTATCATCGTATTGACGTGAAGAGAACTTTCTGCACACGACCAGTTCGTCGTCATAATGCTGCGCAAGGAGTTCTGAGAATGCTCTATTGCACATGATCGTTTTCATACTTGGCGTGTCCCTCTACAACACACGGACCCTTGGTTAGGGGCTGGCCTTGCCAGGCACCCAAGGACCCTTGGAGGTGACCCCGTGGGGACTGTTAAGTGTGAATTAAAGGTGTGCGTAGTAGCTTCCAGATCTCAACAGTAGTCAACATAAAGCTGTTATGGTGATTTGTACACTGTCACATATGCTTCAATATCACATGCTTCACACACAAAATTTCGAAGACCATAACAATCCCAAGTGTGTTTGGTCATCCTCCAACTTATTATACAAGCCCTGTGTGCTTTGAAAAGACTCATGTTGAAACATCCACGTGCGTTGTTTTCAGGTTTCTTCACAACAACTCCTTCTACGGGAAGTTTCCTTCTTGCCTCTTTGAACATTGTCTCCACCGCATGTGAGCAGTGGGCAATGTTGTTGACCCATGCACCCTTTCTTATGCAGATGGTCATGTGCTAGTAAGCTTACAAATGACCCATGCACCCTTCTTGTAATTGCCATCTATGCAAAAAATGACCCATGCACCCTTCTCATGTGCCAGTCAGCTTACAAAGAAAAATCCCCATGCACCCTTTTCTGTCCATCTACGCATGCAGATGCTCATGTGCCAGTCAGCTTATGGAGAATGGATGAAAGTGAATGACACTAAATGTCACTTAATGTCACTGTATGCCATTGAATAACACTAAATGTCACTGGATGACACTAGACGGATGACACTGGATGCACACCCAATGCTCACACCAATCTTGTTCTCACATGTTGCCATTTCCACCGCTCTCCACTCCCTCCAGCGACATTAGCAACAACAGCTTCTACGGCCCAATCAACAGCAACTTCCGCAGCATGATTCCTGACAACGGCGCTCTGCTCAACATCGCAGGCAACTTCTTCTACGGCGACCCCATGCTCTACGCCGATGGCTGCCAGTTCTGCCCCTCCCAAATCACCCAGTCTCATCGTTTGGACAGAGGTGAACTCTTTTTTCCTGGGGAAAGTCGCTGTGCACTCCGTTTCATGCAAGGTTACATCACGGACATAGCCCAAGCAGCAGAAAAGCGCGGCCAGGCGAGCTTGCAGAAGAACTGTTTCACATTGAACAAGCAGATGGAGTGCACGGCGAACGAGACGCTGCGCAGCAGCGACGAGTGCCTGGCATTCTGCAGCATGTCGCGGGAGCTGGGGCCGTGCGACGGGCACGGAGCGTGTGTGCCGCCGCAGGCGGGGGCAGCAGAGGCGCGCTTCACGTGTGAGTGCGACGACGGCTTTGTCACGACCAACGGCACCCTCGGCTCCACCTGCGCCCGCCCTGCTCCGCCCCCTGCTGCAGGTATGCCCTGTGATGGGCCGGGCTTTTTTTGTTTGTTTGTTTGCTTGTTTGTTTTGTTTTGTTTTACGTGCGTGGGTGCATGTGTGCGTGCGTGTGTGTGCGTGCGTGCATATTTGTAGTTGATGAGTTGTGTGCATGTAAGCCGACTATATGTTCTCCATCCTCCCTGTCTGCCCTCCTCATCCGCCCGTTGCCTCTCCAGCGCTCTCCACGGGCGCAGTGGTGGGCATCGCTGTGGGCTCTGCTGCCGCCTTTGCTCTCCTCCTCGCTCTCATTGTCGCGCTGCTCTGGCCCCGCCAACGCCGTGAGGCCCTTCCCCTTTTCTGCTCTTTTCAAAATTCAGAATCTATTGCAGTTGTAGCAACCAGCTGTGCACTCGTTTTTGTGCTGATGGCCAAACTCTACTGCATCTGTAGCAGCAGAATGTGCACTTGACGTGAGGAACCTGCGTGCAGCATGATTATCTGTTGCGTGCTGATGAGCGTTCTGGCATGCTGTGCGGTGTGGCATGGCAGGGCGGTGGAGCGACCTGGACGTGTGTCAGGAGTTCAGCATGGGGGAGATTCTGCGGGCGACAGACAACTGGGCGAGCAGTAATGTGTTGGGGAAGGGCGGCTTTGCCACCGTCTACAAGGGCGTCTCCTCCAAGGGCGAGCTCTGGGCTGTCAAGCGCATCGCACTCATGTCCAACGACTTCGAGACTGAGGTGGGGAAAGAAAACTTCTGCTTCCAGACTGGCTGGTCACTTTCCTTCATGTTCCCATAGGTCTGCTTGAGCCTGCCGTGTTTTTTTGGTACCCTTTCACTGTCAGTCAGGTGTTGCCTGCATCAGCACTCAGTGCCACACACCCGTTCCCTGTCAGAATCCCAGCCACTAACCATTGGGATAAAATGACTTGTTTACTAGTGGGTGAGTGCGCCCATAACCTTTTAGGCAAGCGTGTCTATAACCTTTCCAAGGATCAATCGAGGATCCCCAGTGCAGGTCTTCTGATTCCCCCTTTTTCACTGGGATGCCTTATGACATGGCACAATGGCAGTGACACGTGGCCGCCAGCATGTGCACACATTAGGATTCGAACCCGAGACATTCGCTCTGATAACATGTCAAAACCCCAGCCACAAACCACTGGGATATAACATCATTTTGTTCTACTTAAGACCCCTTTTACTCCCTTCAACGACTGGCAGGTGCGGGCGATGGCGTCACTGCGGCATGAGAACGTGGTGCGCTTGTTGGGCTTCTGCTTGCATCAGAATGTGGAGAGCGGCCAGCAGGAGCAGATCCTCGTCTACGAGTTCGTGCCCAATGGCGACCTCAAGTACCACATTCACGACTCAAAGAGTAAGCTCTGTGAAGAGATTTAAGTGAGCGCAATGGGGACCTCAACTACCATATCCACGACTCCGAGAGAACGCTCTTTCTCCGTGTGCTCTTCAAGTACCACATCCACAACTTTAAAAATTTGCTCCCATTTCACTCGTTGGCCCTCAAGTACCACATCCACAACGTTAAGAGAACGCTCTTTCTCCATGTGCTCTTCAAGGACCACATCCACGACTCCAAGTGTACGCTCTTCTTGCTTGAAACTGCAGATTTGCCACTCGCCCTTTTCTTGATGTTGGCTCGGTTCCTTTCCGGCTTCTCTTGTTTCGTTTTTCCCGCTCCATTCCCCCTTACCCGCCCCTCCCCTAGCGCCCCTGACCCTGAAGCAGCGGCTGCAGCTGGCGGTGGGGGCAGCGGAGGGAGTGGCATATTTGCACAGCTTCGCGACGCCCATCGTGCACCGCGACCTCAAGCCCGGCAACATCCTGATGGGCGAGCACAACCAGGCCAAGATCGCCGACTTTGGGCTGCTCAAGCTGCTCAGCCATGCCGACGGTGGTGACGACCGCACTCGAGTGGCCGGCACCCCGGGCTACCTCGACCCCGACTACAACCGCACGCAAGTCGTCTCCGACAAGAGCGACGTCTACAGGTGCCCATGCCCTAGGTTTGGTGTGCAGTATACGAACTGCATTGAAGCAAGCTGTGCTGCCTGCAAGTCAAACTCTCCGCTCTCTCCCCCCCATGCCCTTCCGTCGCGTGGTCCGCCTCGCGCAATTCACTATCATTCAAGAAGCGCAATTCCTCCCTCTCTTCCTTCCTCGTGCGTTCCCTTCCCTTTTCTGCCCAAAATCCGCCCAACCAAAATCGTTGGAGCCGCTTTGGCGTGGTGCTGTTGGAGCTGCTGACAAGGCAGAAGGCAGCCGTGGAGGGCACCGACAGCCACATTAGTGACTGGGTGAGTGCATGCATGTATGCGTGGCAACCAGCACCTGTTGTGGAGAGCACACCTGGTGGGAGAAGACCTGGTGAATTCCATGAGTTCCTAGGTTAAGCAGGGGAGAAAGCAAGGCCATTTGAAACGACGGCATGCCCGAAGTACACTTCCACTTCTATTTCTGCTCCAATGCCTCCCGTAGTGCAACCTCCTCTCTCACTCATTTGCCGCCGCCTTCTGCTCATTCACACTGTATTTACAGAGTCGACTCAAGAACTATCTCGGCTGCTATGATTTCTTCAAGAATATTCAAAAGCCATCTCTTTCACCCTGCGTTCTGCAACCTCTCTCTCGTTGAATTGGTGCATGTGTATGAGCTAGCCTCCTCATTACTCTCCTGCATCAATTTTTCTCCTCCGCCTTCTCTCCCTCCAGGCGGCGCGCAGGGTGGCTGTGTACTCGATGGGGCATTTCACAATCATCCCTTGTTATATCCCCCCTCTTACCCCCCAGGCGGCGCGCAAGGTGCAGGTGTACGAGCTGGGGGAGCTGAAGGACGCGTGGCTGGAGGCGCCGGACGAGGCGGTGGTGGAGCTGGCAGACATCGCGCTGGACTGCCTCAAGATGCCCGCCTCGCGCCGCCCCAACATGAAGGACGTTGCCCGCCGCCTGCAGAACCTCCTCTCTCTCTACTGTGGTGACGCCGACGGTCACTCCTCCCTTGCAGAGCCTAGCTTGAAAATGGAGGGAGGGGGGGTGAGGGGTGACGGTGGCAGCAGCACGGACACGTTTGGGAGGAGCGAGTGGTCGGAGGGAGCGAACGAAACGTCTGCTTCCAGGAGTCTCGTCCATTCGCTGTCGGAGAAGTGGCGGATGATCGAGTAGGACAGACGGTAGGAAAGGAAGTGTCGTGATTGCTTGTGGATACCAACTTCTCTGAACTTCTCTGAAGATGGGTTGGACTTGGTTCACTTCTGGTCCTCTTGGACTTGGGCTGACTACAATGAGTATGATGATGCACGCTGTGCACTCTAAAAGAGTTTGTTTCACCAATTTTAACCGGTACCGACCAGTCAGAACGGTGATGCACCAACTATGACAAACCAGGCTTCCCCTGGACCTGCTGTTGCCCCGCGAGCTCCCCTTGCCCCACCTGTTCCTTCTCTCCTGATGGTGAAAGTTCCCTGACCCTGATGTCGCACTTTCAAATGATATGTTGCTTGAAATCCCAGAGTACAAGAACTCGGTGCACTGGATCCCAGAGCCTCTGTCAGGAAGCGACACGGCAGGCGATATTGGCTGCCAAGAAACTTCATTAGATACGCATGTTGCTACACTACAACATGGCTGTTTGTGCAGTGGTGCGACCGGTAGGATGTGCCTCGTTGGTGCTAGTAGCTATCCCGAGGACTCGCAGACAAAGGAGGCACTGTATTGTCGCTTCATCCACAAGCGGATGTCGTCGTCGTCGCTCTCATCGCAGTCGGGGCACTCGAAGGAGAGGTGGTTGGGGTCGCCACAGATCCAGCACTCCCGCCGTCGACCACCTCCGCCTCGACCGTTGTCCCGAGCCAACTTCGACCGGTCAGCATCCTTCGCCGACTTCCCACCTCTGTTACCACCTCCGCTCGACATCCGACGCTACGACTGCTGACGTCCCTTCTTCGTCGGGGCAGCAGAGTTCACCTTTGGAAGGAGCTCCTTGGGCCGCTCAGCCTCCTTCATAGCCTCATCCTTGATGATGTGGCTTGTGAGGTTGTCCTTATTGAGGGACTCACACACGCCGAGCATCGCCATCATCCGGCGCATGAGGTTGTAGCCGCTCTGGAGACCCTTGACGACGTGCGTGACATAGGACGCCGTTGAATAGTCGACGACAACCATCAGCATGTCGACCAAGATCCGTCGAGCACGGTTGCTATAGTCTGTCGCCGAAACCTGCTCGCCCATCCTGAGGTGAGTCAGGCGCTCCTCTAGCTGGGCGTTGTACAGGTCGTCGGTCATCTGATACGTCGACAGGATGAATTGCCACGCTTGGTGGACGGCGTCTAGTCAAAGTCTACGCAGCTTCGGGGCGATCTGCACCATCGGCGAGCAGCATCACAGGATGACCATGAAGGTCAGCAAGTGAGCCGTGCAAAATTCTGCCCGCAGCTTGATATCGGTCTCGTATGGCGTCTCCACGTCGCCGTCGGCAAAACACTTGAGCCCGGCAATCTTTAGCAGGGGCTCGATCGACTCCCTCCATGTGATGAGGTCACGTCGACCTTCAAGCAGTACGAGCATGGCGATCTTGTCCGGCGAAAATTTACAATAGCCGTAAGTTGGTGCATGCGTTGAGGAGCCTGGCCTGACTTTGCTTCTCTACGAGGAGCGTGAGAAACTTAGAACGAGAATGAAATGACTAAGTGAAAGTTGGGTACAAAAATGCAAACCCTAGAAAGGTGTACCCCATATGTGCTACCCCACTATAGCCTACAGCAGCTATGTCATATAAATCTGACACACCCCCATAGGCAAAGTGGGGGAGAACAAGGGGTCACAAGACCAGTCAAGCAAAGCAAAACAAAGCAAGCTCAGGGTCGATCACAAAGTCACCACACAGTCCGAGCACAAGGTCAAGGCCACAAGGCCAGTTCACATGCAGGAGTACACATATATATATAAGACTAGACAAGCAAGAGCAGGTATATATATATATATATATATATGTAAGAGTACAAGCAAGGTCAAGGGGTGAGCAAGTGAGGCAAGACAGGGACAAGACCCAGCTGAGTGCAGAAGCGCTGATGATCACAAGACAGAAGTGCCATGGTGAAAACATCAGCAGTGTTGGCCTCAGAGGCCACGTACGCAAGCCGCAACTGACCACGTTGCTGTAGCTCACAAGCAAGGAAGTAGCGAAGAGCAATGTGCTTTGTTCTGTGCTCCAGTCTCTGCTCTCGGCACAAGGCCAGCATGGCCTTGTTGTCTATGTACAGGACTGGAGGAGAACGAGGCGGCTCTCCAAGGTCGGTCAGCAGGTAGGTGAGCTAACGAAGCTCCTGTGCAGCCATGGCCCCGGCGTAGATCTCAGCCTCACAACTGGAGCCGAGAAGAGAAAACGAGCGAGTAACCCGCCACGAAACAGAGCCGGAACCAAGGCTGAAGGTGTAACCCTGTGACGACCGCTGCGTAGCCTCGTCGTCAGCCCAAGAAGCGTCCGCGTGCCCAGTGAGGACCACTGGACAGCGCCCTCCAAGCACTAGCCCCATGCCCGACGTACTGCACAAGTAGCGCAACACCCTCTTCGCTGCATCCATGTGCTCTGGTCTGTGTCTCCCAGGAGCAACATAGCGTGCAAGAATGCTAAGAGGGTATGCAAGGTCAGGTCGTGTGCAGGTCATCAGGTACATGAGGCAGCCAACAAGCTCTGGGTACGGGCCACTTGACTCTACGGACTCATCCGAAGGCAGAGCTGAGAGCGATTGGCGAGTAGGCAGAGGAGTGGCCTGAGGCGAGGAGTACGTGAAGCCAAAGCGCTAAAGGACCTGCTGCACCATGTGTGACTGAGTCAGGGTAATGTTGTGGCGTGCTCTGTCCCGGGTGATCTGCAAGCCAAGGTAGCTGCGCAGCTCACCCAGGTCTGTGCACGTGTGTCTCTTTTGCAGCTCGGACTTCACGTGGGCGAGTCCAGCAGTGTCAGCAGTGGCAAAGACCAAGTCGTCGACGTACACGAGGATGTAGAACGGCGGCAAAGAGGTGTCGGTGCGTAGAAACAGCGACGGGTCGGCAGTAGAGGGAGCAAACCCAAGAGCCGCAAGCGTAGTCCTCAGTGTGTCGTGCCACTCACGCGGTGCCTGGCGGAGACCGTAGACTGGCCGTCGGAGGCTCCACTGGGTGCCAGGAGGAAAAGTCCCAGTGAAGCCAGGTGGACGGCGCAGCCAGATCTCCTCGTGTAGGCTACCCTGCAAGAAAGCAGTGCTGAAGTCAAGGGAGTGAAGCTCGTAGTCACGCTGAGCGGCTATGTGCAGCAGCACCCGAAGAGTGGTCATCTTCGGGGTGGGAGAGAAGGTCTGAAAGTAGTCAACTCCCTGCCGCTGACTGAGGCCACGAGCCACGTACCGCGCCTTAAAGACAGGTGGAGAACCTGGCGGCCGCTTCACCCTGAAAATCCACATGCCACTGACGATGTTCGCCCCAGGTAGGGGAACCGCGTCAACGTAGGTGCCTGTGGACTTCCAGGAAGCCATCTCTGCATCCATAGCTGCATGCCACTAAGAGGAGTAGGGACCCTCTACGGCCTCCGCATAAGAGCGCGGAGTCGGGATGTCAAGTGCATCCGGGTCTCCCTCAGGGGTAAGCAGTACAGACACGAGATGAGGAGAAGCAGCAGCCAGACACTGGAACTCCTCCTGCCTGTCCTCAAAGACGTCCGTGCCAAGAGCACACCCACCCCCGACGGACGGAGGACAGAGAGACGCAGACTCAGCAACAAGACTAGCAGCGTAGTCCAGAGGGCAGCGAGCAGCAAAGTCGACTAGCTCAGCGACAAGAGCAGACGCAGCAGTGGACTCAAAGGAGGGGTCAGTGACGACAGTAGCAAGAAGATGCGTGACAGTAGGACTGGCAGCACGTGGAGAGTCCGACTCCGGGTCGGCAAGAGCAGGAAGAGAGGACGCAGGAGGAGAAGGCGAAGGGGCACGCAAAGGAGCAGTGGACGTAAGCAGAAACATCCGGTGCGTGCCAGGGACAGGAGGAGGACGCTGACGCGAACCGCGACCACTAGCGGGAGCAGCACGAACAGGCGACGCAGGACGAGACGCAGGCTCACGACGCTCAGTAAGGCCTCCAGTAGGACCAGTGTAGGGAGGAGGAGCAGGCAGTGGAGAGGCCGGCGGTAACTGGGTCTGTGACTGGACAGGCGGTGGACACTCTACGGGAGGAGGACCAAGAACCTGCTGAAGGAGCGGAACGAAGTACGGCCGAGGCCGCGCGGCGACTCCAGGCACAACAGGGACAGCACCAGCACCCTCAGCGGCAGCACCAGCGCCAACAGCACCTCCACCTGCAGTACCACCAGCAGCACCCGCAGCAGGACCGCCGGCAGGACTGACAGCAGTAGACTCAGCGCCAACACCCTCAGCAGCTCCAGCTCCAGTCGTACCCGCAGGTACAGCAGCTCCAGCACCCTCCGGACGAGCACCTCCGGGACCGTCGGCACCAGCACCCTCAGCAGCTGAAGAAGCTCCAGCAGTACGCCTCCAGCGCCCATTCAAGCGGACGAACACTATTCGGTTCGCCGAACGACTTCCCCAAGGGTGTTCGCCGTTCGCCTGTGAAGGCGAACACCTTGTTGCCCCGGGACTACATTCACCAAAATCACACGTTTGTGGATTGTGCATTGTTGACATTTGTTAGGTGGCTGAAGGTCCAAATAGAGTAAAATTCAAATCGTTGCACATTCCCTCCCCCCACCCCCCAAGTCAGTCCCGCCTTGCTTCATCCATGCTAGTGCCAGTGTGTGACGGCGAAATGCTAGATCGTCACTTTAGCAATGGCGGAATGTTTGATCTGCACTTAAGCAACGGCGAAATGCTCGATCTCCACTTAAGCAACGGCGAAATGCTCGATCTGCACTTAAGCAACAGCGAAATGCTCGATCTGCACTTAAGCAATGGCGAAATGCTCGATCTGCACTTAAGCAACGGCAAAATGTTTGATCTGCACTTAAGCAACGGCAAAATGCTCGATCTGCACTTAGGCAACGGCGAAATGCTAGATCTGCACTTAAGCAACGGCGAAATGCTAGATCTGCACTTTACTGACGGCGTAGTGCTAGACCTGCACTTAAGTAAAGGTGAAATGCCAAAACTTAGCCCAAACACCAAGGCCCGTGACCTAAA